CGTTTCCTCCTGGTACCCAGTGGAGCCTCCGGCGGCCAGTGAGTGGCACGACACACTGAGGACTACACTTGCAGCTCTTGGGTTTGCTCCTTCTACAGCCGACCCGTCGCTGTTTCTACACACTGACACCTCTTTGCCGCCGTTCTACATCCTCGTGTACGTTGAAAACTTGGTCTTTGCTAGTGCTGACACTGCTGGACTCGCCCACGTGAAGTCCGAGCTGCCGAAGAGACACACATGCACAAACCCGGGTGAATTCCGCAGCTACCTTGGCTTGCAAATCACCCGGGACAGAGCACAGCGCACCATTACCCTGACTTAGTCACACATGGTGCAGCAGGTCCTTCAGCGCTTCGACTTTACGTACTCCTCGCCTCAAGCCACTCCTCTGTCTACTCGCCACTTGCTCTCAGCTCTACCTTCGGATGAGTCCGTAGAGCCGAGTGGCCTGTACCCAAAGCTTGTTGGCTACCTCATGTACCTGATGACTTGCACTCGACCTGACCTTGCATACCTTCTTAGCATCTTGGCACGCTATGTTGCTCCTGGGAGACACAGACCAGAGCACATGGCTGTAACGAAGAGGGTGTTGCGCTATTTGTGCAATACGTCAGGCACGGGGCTCGTGCTTGGAGGGCGACGTCCAGTGGTCCTCACAGGTCACGCAGACGCTTCTTGGGCTGACGACCAGGCTACGCAGCGGTCGTCACAGGGTTACACCTTCAGCTTTGGTTCCGGCTCTGTTTCGTGGCAGTCTAGCTGCTCGTCTTCTGTTCTCGGCTCCAGTTGTGAGGCTGAGATGTACGCAGGGGCCATGGCTGTACAGGAGCTACGCTGGTCCACCTACCTGCTGACTGACCTAGGAGGGCCGCCTCGTTCTCCTCCAGTTCTGTACGTAGACAACAAGGCCATGCTGGCCTTGTGTCGGGAGCACAGACTGGAGCATAGAACGAAGCACATTGCTCTTCGCTACTTCCTTGCTCGTGAGCTGCAGCAGCGTGGTCAGCTGCGCCTAGCTTACTTGGCCTCTGAGGCCAACACTGCTGATATCTTTACCAAGGCACTTCCGCCTTGTGATCATCAGCGCTTTTGTACGATGCTAGGTCTTGTGCCTACTTGGCCTCACTTGCTCACTTCTTGACCTTGCTTGTACTGTGATCTATCTATACATGCACTTACTTGTCTACCTTTATATATAATCCTGCATGTGATCTGGGCTTGTGGCCTTGAACTTGTGCTTGGAATGTGTGGTGTCGTTGTGATCCACCCTGAGCTTGCTTTGCTTGACTGGTCTTGTGACCCCTTGTTCTCCCCCACTTTGCCTATGGGTTTGTGTCAAAAATTTATGCTATTGTCTTTCTAGGCTGTAGTGGGGTAGAAAGTATGGGGTACAGTTTCCTAGGGTTACATATTTGTACCCAACTCATTTCCTAGTCCATCATTCGTCATTCTTTCACAGCCTGTGGCCTGAAGTAATGGACCACGCTGTCATGCTGCACAACCTGCTCTCGTCGTCATCGCTCCCGAACAACGCATTACTGCACCTGCTGTGGACAGGAAAACAGGGCAGCACAAAAATGTTAAGTGTCTTCGGCTGCATGGTACAGTACCGACCCCCATTTGCACGAGCTGGCTGATTTTCCCAACGCGCACAGTGGGGACTACACCTGGGCATCGAAAGAAATTACAACGCGTGGAAGATTTTCGACATCCACTCCAAGGAAACAGTAGCAGCATGTGGTGTCATTTTCTACGAACGACTCACCCTTCCGACGTACCTTGCCAATCTGGAAGAAGATCGAGACCCCACAGGTGGCTTCCGTGGTGACCGTACTTTCGCCTCGGTAGCAGACGAAGCTGACTGGGACGAGCAGAACGTGGATGAAGCCTCGGAGGAAGCCAGACCTATCCCTTACTGCTCCGTTGACGTCCCAATGGATGACGAAAATCCTCGCGAAAGTGCCAACGCCAAAGTATTTTACCACTTCGCTGACAACGGTTACGTTACACCTCCAGAAGTCAACACCAACGAAGCAGAACGCATAGGGCCCAACTTCATACGTGACCCAGAAGCAGGTGACGAAACAGCTTATCCCGCGGACACAACACTCCCCCGCTATACACAGAGTGGCCTCCAGATACCCGGCCTCGTCATCGCGGTCCACGGCACGGAGATTCCTAAGGAGCCTGCCACAGTTCAGCAGGCTCTGGGGGGGGAGCATAGGGAAAAATGGTGTGAAGCCATGGACAGGGAACTGAAAGCACTGGAGGAACGCAACACCTGGAAAGTCGTTCCCATCGGCGTGGCACGAAACAAGACAGTACTCACCGGGATATGAGTCTTCCGTGTGAAGATAAAGGCAGACGGCACCATCGACAAGTTTAAGGCGCGCTGGGTCGTACGCGGCTTCGACCAAGAGCACGGACGCGACTTCACCGAGACATTCGCCCTGGTCAGCCGACACACCTCACTGCGAATCCTCCTGGCGATCGCCACCATGAAGAAGAAGAAACCACGGCAAATCGACGTCGCCAACGCATTCCTCTACGCACCTGTTGACGCCGAAATCTTCGTCGAACTCCCACATGGCTCCAATGGAGAGCCTAACAAAGTATGTCAGCTGCTAAAATCCCTGTACGGCATCAAAAAAGCTCCAAGGCTGTGGCAACAATAAATGCACGCAAGACTCATTCGCATTGGATTCCGCCAACTACCTTACGACCAAGGCATGTATCGGCTTACAAAGGGCACCGACTACATCCTACTGATCATCTACGTGGACGATTTGCTCTACATCGACTCGACCGACAACGTCACTACCTGGTTTGAAGGGGAGCTACAGAAGGATCTCACGCTCACGGTCTCGTCCACCGTCACGCAGTATCTCGGCCTCAACATCCAGGAAGAAGAAGGCGCGATCTACCTCAACCCCGCGAAATATGCCGACACTATCGCCAAAAGCTACGGACTCACCCCGATCACCATCTCCACGCATTACCGCTACACCACAGGAAATCACAAGGAAGGATCCGCTCCACTAAAGCCCGCCGGCATACGCGACTACCAGAGAAATCTGGGATGTCTCCTCTTCGCAGCTGTCACGTGCCGTCCGGACCTATCGTACTCCGCAAGTCAGCTCGCAAACTAACTCAAGAAACCTGAAGCAGAACACATGGCGGAACTCGACCGCGCTCTCCACTACCTCGTCAGCACCTCAACCGTCGGTCTAACCTACCACAAGGACTACGACACCTAAACTAGTCGGCTACGTCGACGCCGATCACGCGGCGACTCCGACAACAGACGCTCACACACCGGCTACATCTATCGCCTCGAGCCTATCGGACCTATCTCCTGGCAGTCAAGCAAGCAGGAGTTAATCGCCCTCTCCTCAGCTGAAGCAGAATATATCGCACTCTGCTCAACCACCAAGGAAGGACTGTACCTTCGCGAACTTCTGGAGGAGGCGAAGCTGGCTCAGTTACCCAGCTTCTCCCTGTTCTTCGACAATCAGTCGGCAATTCGCATAGCCAACAAAAATGGATTCGCGAACACGACGAAGCATATCGCCCTGCGATATTTCTTCGTGAAGGACGAAATCGAGAAGAGGAGACTCAAATTGTCTTACTGTCCCACGTCCAAGATCGCAGCTGATTACTTGACCAAGAAGCTCGGAAAGCAGAAGTTTGCGTACTGCATGCTGCTGACTGGATAGAGCCACGTCACCAGCAGCGACACTCCAAAAGCAAAAGGGAGTGTTGGAAACAAGTAACTTAAGCCCCTCTGTCGTGTCGAAACACCAAGTCAGAAGCGAAGCAGAACATATCGAAGCATCGGCGAGTCAACCCTCGGAGGTTGAGCAATTGCTGGAGGTTACGAGAAAGTCAAAGGTCAGCGACCTTTGACTTGACAAATACAACGCGACAGCAAGGACAAACAACTGACTCGTTATTGAGCATTTGACCGAGTCGTCACTGTATCCAACCGCAATAGCAATAGCTTGTATCCCTTTGTTTTAATCAATCTACTCTGCCCTCACATGCCAGCACAAGGTGGTTCACAAACTTCTCAGTAAACGCTTCAGCTATTAGATTGTTCTACTAGCGGGTCAGTGCGCCCTTAACCCCCCAGGCCAACGTGCCTGTAACCCTTCCCTAGGATCAATCGGGGATCACCAATGGACCTCTGACACCCGCCCGCACTGGGATGCTCGAAGTGCATACACCGGGATTCGAACGAGAAATGAGAATGGATGAATGAACTATGAAACAGTTGGGTACAAGTACTAACCCTAATTGGATTGTACCCCTTATGGGCTACCCCACTACAGCCTACACAAATGTATACGCTATAATATTCTGACACACCCCCATAGGCAAAGCGGGCGAGAACAAGCAGTCACAAGACCAGTCAAGCAAAGCAAAGCAAGCTCAGGGTGGATCACAAAGTCACCACACAGTCCGAGCACAAGAGTAAAGCCACAAGGCCATTTCTCATGCAAGATCATATATATAAAGGTAAACAAGCAAGTGCAGGTATAGAATGAGTACAGTACAAACAAGATCAAGAAGTGAGCAAGTGCGGCCAAGTAGGCACAAGACCTAGTTAAGTACAGAAGCGCTGATGATCACAAGGCGGAAGGGCCTTGGTGAATATATCAGCAGTGTTGGCCTCAGAGGCCACGTAGGTGAGGCGGAGCTGACCACGCTGCTGCAGCTCACGAGCAAGGAAGTAGCGGAGAGCAATGTGCTTTGTTCTGTGCTCCAATCTGTGCTCCCGACACAAGGCCAGCATGGCCTTGTTGTCTACGTACAGAACTGGAGGAGAACGAGGCGGCCCTCCTAGGTCAGTCAGCAGGTAGGTGAGCCAGCATAGCTCCTGTGCAGCCATGGCCCCAGCGTAGATCTCAGCCTCACAGCTAGAGCTGAGAACAGAAGACCTGCTGCACCATGTGTGACTGAGTCAGGGTAATGGTGCGCTGTGCTCTATCCCGGGTGATCTACAAGCCAAGGTAGCTGCGCAGTTCACCCAGGTCTGTGCACGTGTGCCTCTTCTGCAGCTCGGACTTCACGTGGGCGAGTCCAGCAGTGTCAGCAATGGCAAAGACCAAGTCGTCGACGTACACGAGGATGTAGAACGGCGGCAGAGAGGTGTCGGTGCGCAGAAACAGCGACGGGCCGGCTGTAGAAGGAGCAAACCCAAGAGCCGCAAGTGTAGTCCTCAGTGTGTCGTGCCACTCACGGGGCGCCTGGCGGAGACCGTAGACTGGCTGCCGGAGGCTCCACTGGGTACCAGGAGGAAACGACCCAGTAAAGCCAGGAGGGCGGCGTAGCCAGATCTCCTCGTGCAGGCTGCCCTGCAGGAAAGCTGTGCTGAAGTCAAGAGAGTGAAGCTCGTAGTCGCGCTCAGCGGCAATGTACAGTAGCATGTGAAGAGTGATCATCTTCGGGGTGGGAGAGAAGGTCTGAAAGTAGTCAACTCCCTGCCGCTGACTGAAGCCTCGAGCCACGTAACGCGCCTTGAAGACAGGCGGAGAACCCGGCGGCCGCTTCACCCTAAAAATCCACATGCCACTGACGATGTTCGCCCGAGGTGGGGGAACCTCGTCGACGTAGGTGCCTGTGGAATTCTAGGAAGCCATCTCTGCGTCCATGGCCGACTTCCACTGAGAGGAGTAGGGACCCTCGATCGCCTCAGCGTACGATCGAGAAGTCGGGATGTCTGGAGCATCCGGGTCTCCCTCAGGGGCAATCAGCGTGGACACGAGATGGGGCAAAGCAGCAGCAAAGCACTGGAAATCCTCCTGCCTGTCCTCAAGGACGTCCGTGCTAAGAGCACACTCACCCCCGACGGACGGAGGACAGACAGACTCAGACTCAGCAACGAGACTAGCAGCATAGTCTAGACGACAGCGAGCAGCAAAGTCGACAAGCTCAGCAACTAGGGCAGACGCAGCAGTGGACTCAGAGGAAGGGTCAGTGACAACAGTAGCAAGATGGCGCGTGACCGAAGGACTAGCAGCACGAAGGGAGTCTGACTCCGGGTCAGCAAGAGAAGGAAGAGAGGGCTCTGGAGGAGACGGCAACGGGACACGCAGAGGAGCAGTGGAAGGACGCAATGCCATCTGGTGTGTGCCGGGGACCACAGGAGGACGCGGACGCGCAGCACGACTAGTAGAGCGAGCAGCCCGAACAGGCGACGCAGGACGAGACGCAGGCTCACGACGCTCAGCAAGACCTCTAGTAGGACTAGTGTAGGAAGAAGGAGCAGGTAGCGAGGAGGCAGGCTGTAACTGTGATGGCGACTGGACAAGCTGTGGACAATCTAAGGGAGGAGCAGGACCAGGAGTGGGCGGGAGACCAAGAACCTGCTCCAGGAGCGAAACGAAGTACGGCCCCGGCCGCTCAGCGCCTCCAGAACCAGCAAGGACGGCACAAGTACCCCCAGCGGCAGCACGAGCGCCAGCAGCACCTCCACCTCCAACAGCGCCAACTCCAGCACCCTCAGAAGCACCAGCGCCAGCAGCACTTCCAGCGCCAACACCCCTAGCAGCTCCAGCTCCAGCAGCACCAGCTCCAGTAGGACCGTCAGCACCAGCAGCCTCAGCAACACCCCCAAACGCACCAGCACCAGTAGAAACACCAGCGCCAACACCCCCAGCAGCTCCACCTCCAATAGCACCAGCACCGCCAACAGCTCCAGCAGGACCAACTCCAGTAGCTCTAGCAGCACCCCCAGTCTCAGCAGCACGTCTCCAGCGGCGGGCAAACCACTCGCACAACTCCTGTGGAGAGAGCGGCTCCCGCCTCGACGAAGCACCGCCGGCGGCCACACGAGCAAACCCAGCACCCCTAGACTCCGCACCCCCAGGCTCAGCACCTCTTGTCTCCACACCCCTAGGCTCAGCACCCCTAGACCCAGTACCCCCAGGCTCAACACCCCCAGTCTCAGCACCCCCAGAATCAGCACCCCAAGACCCGGCACCCGCAGGCTCAGCACCTCTAGCAGCACCAGAGTCAACAGCTACCTCGACAGGCTCGACTGCGTCTACCTGGGACACACCTGACGGGGCAGGACCCTGAGGAGGGAGGGGGTCTACCTGGGGAGGACCTCGCGCAAGGAAGAGCGGTGTTGGGGGGAGGGGCGCAGTGCAGTAGGGGAAGAGACGGTAGTAAGGCACCGACTCGTCAAAGGTGACGTCTTGGGAGGACAGAACACGGCGCGAGGTGGGGTGGTAAAACTGCCACCCATGCGCGTCAGGGGGGAAGCCAAGGAAGACGCAGGGAACTGCACGGGGGGACAGCTTGTCCGCAGACAAGTCGCGGACAAACGCCCAAGATCCCCAGACCCGAAACGCAAACGCATCGCCAACTTTCCTTGTCCACCGCAAGGCGGGGGAGGTCTCTGGCAAGGAGACCCGGGGCTGAAGGTTGAGCTGATGCGCGGCGTACTGAACCGCAAACAGCCACAGAAAATGGGGGGCAGCCGCGTGCATCATGGACGTACGAGCGACGTCCATGACCATGCCAATGCGGCGCTCAGCAATCCCATTTTGCTGTGGAGAGGCCGGAAGCGTGAAGGTCTGGCGGATGCCCTGTGCACGACAGAAGGCTCCCAGACGGGCAGAGGAAAACTCCCCGCCTCTGTGCGAGTGCAGACGCACAACAAGAAAGTCCGAGCCGAAACTCTCTCTGAGGAGGAGACGAGCTGCGCGGATCCAGTCGATCAACACCTCAGTGACGTCACCCTTGCTGCGCAAGGGGAAGACTGTGGTGAAACGCGAGTAGTCATCAACCACCAACAGAAGTACCGCTCTCGCCCTTGCCCACTGACGCGGGCTGGGCCCCACACGTCCATGTGGAGAGTCTGCAGCGGAGCCTCTGTCGGAGGAAACTCAGAGGAGTGAGGGGCGGCCCGCTGTCGCCCCTCGACGCAGGGGACGCAGGTAGGGCCAGGCCCCGGAGGAAAGGGAGGGAGAGACCGTGGGAGACCAGAGACAAGGACACGGGAGGCCATGCCTCGGAGACGAGGCAAGGAGGGGTGACCAAGGCGGGGGTGCCAAAAGAGAGTCTGGTGAGACAGCAGACGACACGAGCAGGGGGCAGACTCAGGACCAGACCTGGACGCCGCAGTAAACACCTGACTTGACGCAGCTACCTAGCTACACTCAGCAGCAAGAGGAGACTCAGTAGTAAGGGTGTAGAGGCTCGACCCTGGCCGATGGGTGAACGTTGCCAAGTGTCGGCCTGTCCGAGCACACGTGCAGTGGGTCACTCGCTGACTCGCAGGAGTGAACTGGTCAACCCCCCTATCCTGTAGGTCCGCTCCACTCACCAAGTTCGTAGAGAACGAGGGGAGGTAGAGACCAGACAGGGTGCTAGAGGGGGCTGCCGGGCACGGTAGGACAGTGGAGAAGCTAGCAAGGACAGGACCCCCAGAGGGGTCTTCCAGAGAGACTGCAACCGGCCGACTAAGCGGCGTAAGAGTGGTGCGGTCTCAAAAGAAGGAGCGGGACGCACCCGAGTCCAGGGTGAATGTAGGCCTGAGCCGACGTAGTACCTGAGAGAGCAGACTCACCAGCACCTGGGGCGGCAGACGCAGTGGCACGTGGGGCAGGAGACGCACTAGCACCTAGAGCAGCAGCCTCACTAGTACCTAGAGCAGCAGCCTCAGTGCCCAGGTCAGGCGGTACACACAGGTAACAGTCACCAGTGACACTAGTATCAATAGCATACATGGCAGCAAGAATAGCATCAAAGTCAAGATCAAAGATAGCAACCCTGACCTTAGATGGATCTTCCCAGCGAGGGATCTCTGACGCCTCAGGGAACTCGCGACGCCACGCGTGCGTCAGGCGACCAAAGCAGCGCTGGGTGGAGTGCGGGCCTCCGCACTGCTCACTAGCTCGGTGGCCAAAACGAAGGACGTAAGCGCAGGGACCAAAACCCCCACGGGCAAGTTTAGGGCACCGTCGTGTGCCTCGGGGCGCACGACGAGCAGGGCACCGTCGCGTGCCACCGGGCGCACGGCGGGCAAGTTTAGGGCACCGTCGCGTGCCACCGGGCGCACGGCGGGCAAGTTTAGGGCACCGTCGCGTGCCACGGGGCGCGCGACGGGCATAGAAGATGTCACTCGCCACTCGGGTCCGGGACAGGACGAAAATTGCCACGCGCCCTAGGTGCACGACCGGAAAAACACCACTGGAAGCATAAGGCGGGCCCACAGGCCAGGACGAAACACGCTCTAATGCCATGACGAGAAATGAGAATGGATGAATGAACTATGAAACAATTGGGTGCAAGTACTAACCCTAATTGGGTTGTACCCCTTATGGGCTACCCCATTACAGCCTACACAAATGTATAAGCTATAATATTCTGACATCTGAGACCAAGTCAGAATCCCAACCACTAGACCATTGGGATAAGAGGGTTTGTTAAATAGCGGGTCAGTGCGCCCATAACCCCCCAGGCCAACGTACCTGTAACCCTTCCCTAGGATCAATCGGGGATCACCAATGGACCTCTGACACCCGCTCACACTTGGATGCCCAAAGTGCATACACCGGGATTCGAACCCGAGGCCTTGGCTCTGATACCATGTCAGAATCCCAACCACTAGACCATTGGGATAAAAGGGCTTGTTAAGTAGCGGGTCAGTGCGCCCATAACCCCCCAGGCCAACGTTCATGTAACACTTCCGTAGGATCAATCGGGGATCACCTACTGACAAGCGGAAGTGTGGGATGGAAATATAACCTACTCTAATACCATCCAAAAGTAGCCTAGGAATCAATGTCGAGGGAATTGTGTTAGGTGGAAAGTCCAGGGGGATACAAAAGTTAACCTAGGATGGGTTGTACCCTCTAAGGGCAACTCATTGTAGCCTAGAAACCTAACAATGCATATGAACATTATTTGACACACCCCTATAGGCTAAGTGAGGTGCATCCAAGAACTCGCAAGGGAAACAATGGTCACAAGACCAGTCAGGTGCAATCAACAAAACAAAGCTCAGGGTAGCGCTCAGAGTCGCCACACACTCCGAACACAAGCAAATGGCCACAAGGCCATTTCAAGAGTTTACTACAGGCCCCTAGATTCGTTTTGGACCCGGCTGATCCATCAGCCTTGGTACGGAAAAAAAGCGCTGACAGTCAGCGTTACCTAGGAAAACAACTCTGAAAATTCAGTGTTCATAAATTTTTTTCGCTGAGTGCGTATAGCTTTGATTGCTAGCAGAACTACGAATTACATATACTTTATGTAACATTTTTATGGTTGGTTTGGGCGTGGCGAGGGAGGCAGGCGGGCTTTGGGGAGGGGCGAGCAGGTGGGCTGTGGGAAGGGGTGAGACAGCGACCTGGGTTGAGGGGAGAAATGGGTTGGGTTGGAGGAGAGCTGAGAAGGGGGCGCGTGTCTTTTAGTGTAGAAGTTCGTAAATTTGGTTGAACTTTGATGGACGAAGTGGGCTGGGGGGAGATTCGGGTGAAACACGTGGGCTGGGGGAGAAAATCGAGTGGAACACGGGGGTTGGTGGGGGGAAGTTCGTGTGGAAGTGGTGGGCTGGCGGAAATCACTATTTGCCGGTCTCAGTGTGTACCCACTACAAGGCTGAGTGCTCAGCCTACACTCATACAAACAGGCTGGAAATTCAGCCAGGGTGTAGAAAAAAACACTGAAAATATAAGAAATTCACGCTTTTCTAAAGGAATTCATAAGACTTCCGCTGCAACACTTTATCAAGGACGACTCTAAAATATCCTAAGGGCTTTGTTTAGCCCAACAACTATTTTGCCTCCTCGTTTTGCTAAGGGAATGACTAGCTTTAAAAACTCATTTCAAGATTAAACGTGAAAATTGTTCTAAAAAACAAAGAACAAACTCTTAAAATAGGCTAGGGAACAAGTGTCAAGAGAATGGTCTGAGTGGGAGGGGACAAGGAGATACAAGTCTCGACCTAAAGTGTTGTACCCTTCAATGGTCTAAGAGGGCAATTCACTGTATCCAATCTAACAATATATAGAAGATATAAACATTTGATACACCCCCATAGACTAAGTGAGGGGCATCAAAGCAAGCAAGGTGAACAAACGGTCACAAGACCAGTCAATGCAAGAAGCAAAGCAAGCTCAGGGTGGATATCAAGGACACCACACAAATTCTGAGCACAAGCAAGCGGCCACAAGGCCAGTTCATGAGCTCACTAGGATATATATAGCAGAGCAGAACAAGCAGAGCAAATAGCAAGTCTACAGCAACCAAGAGCCTACCTCAACAAGCCCCAACTGCACAAAGAACCTGTGGTGGTAACCAGGTGCCAAGGCCTTAGTGAAGACGTCGGCAGTGTTGGCCTCTGAGGCCACAAAGTCCAAGCGTGCCTGGCCGGTCGCTGCAACTCTCGTAGGAGGAAGTACCTCACGTCAATATTCTTCACTCTGCTCTCCAATCGAGGCTCTCGACACATGAGGATCATGGCCTTTTTGTCAGCGTACAAGGTCGGTGTAGAGCGAGGCCGCTCACCAAGGTTGACGAGCAAGAAGGTCAACTAGCGAAGCTCCTGTGCCGCCATGGCACCATAGTAGATCTCTGCCTCTGCACTGGACGAAGCCACAGACGGTGACCGTGTAGACCTCCACAACACAGCACCAGCATCCAGATTGAAGCAGTAACCCTGATTTGAGCGCTGAGTCTCCACGTCGTCATCGTAGGAAGAGTCGCAGTGACCGGTCAACATAACATGCTGTGTCCCTCCAAGCACAAGCCCCATGCCTGAAGTAGTCGCCAGGTACTTCGCCACCCTCACAACAGCTGTCCAGTGAACAGGACGGTGTCTCCCAGTCGCAACAAAGCGAGAGAGGACGCTGAGGGGAAAGGAGAGGTCCGGCCGAGTACAAGTCATCAGGTACATGAGGCAGCCTACAAGCTATGAGTAGGGACCACTAGACTCAAAAGGCTCGTCAAGAAAAGGGCCAGTGAGTCGGTGGTCAACGGCAAGAGGAGTGGGGTGTATGGTGGAGAACTGAAACCCGAACCGCCAAAGGATCTACGGCACCATGTGTAGCTGAGTCAGTGTGATGGCGCGAGTGACTCTGTCCCTGGTAATCTGCAGGCCAAGGTAGTGCTGCAGTTCACCGAGGTCAGTTCACTTGTGTCTCTTCTGCAGTTTGGATTTCACCTCAACCAGAGCTGCCCTGTCTGCTGTAGCAAAGACCAAGTTGTTGACGTACATTAGTATAAAGAAAGAAGTGGAACCAGTGCGAACAAACAGCGACGGGTCGGCAGAGGAAGGACGAAACCCAAGGTCACGAAGCGTGGAGCAAAGAGTGTCGTGCCACTCGCGGGGAGGCTGGCGGAGACCGTAGACCGGCCGCCTCATGCTCCACTGGGTCCTAGGAGGGAAGGTGTCATTGAAGCCAGGAGGAGGGTGCAGCCAAATCTCCTCATGTAGGCAGCCCTAGAGAAACGCAGTGGAGAAGTAAAGGGAGTGCAGCTCGTAGTCTCGTTGTGTTGCTACGTGGAGTAACACCCGAAGAGTAGTCATCTTTGGGGTCGGGGCGAAGGTCTGGAAGAAGTCAACTCCCTCACGCTGACTGAAACCCCTAGCCACGTAACGCGCCTTGAACACAGGCGCTGAACCAGGCGGCAGCTTCATCTTGAAGAGCCACATGCCATCGACAATGTTCCCCCTGGGAGGGGGAACTGCGTCGACGTACGTGCCTGTGGATCTCCAAGACGCTAACTCTGCATCCATAGCCGCTTTCCACTGAGAGGCCCACTCCCCTGAAACTGCCTCACGGTACGTGCTAGGTGTCGGTATGTCAAGGGCGTCGGGGTCTCCCTCAAGGGAAAGCAGCATGGCGCAGAGAGAGGGGGAAGCGGCTGCTAAGAACTCCGGCTCAAACTGCCTGTCCTCTAGGATGTCACAGCCAAGGGCAGACTCACCCCAGATGGACAGAGGACGGGGAGGTGGAGCAGCCACCACACGCGTGGCATAGTAAAAAAGGCGGGTGGAAGAAAAGTCAGCGACAGCGGCAGTAAGAGCCGAGACATACGACGGAGAGGCACGAGGGTCTGTAACAAGAGAAGCAAAAACACGAGAGACAACGGAGCGAGCAACACGGTACTAGTCACTGATAGGGTGAGAGGAAACGTTGAGAGACGACTCAGGAAGTGAGGGGAGAACAGACACAGGCGGAGAACGACGAGGAGGAGAATGAAACAAGACAGTGCGGAGGTCGGCAAGAGGAGACGAGGGCCGAGCACGTGGAGGACAACGACTGGTCCAGTCGTGCCGGACAACAAGAGGGGGCGACTGTGACTGAGGAGGAGAGAAAACAGCCAGAGTCGAGTCTTAAGGAAGAAACGTAGGACCGTACGCGGTAGGAGACTGTGAGTTAACATGAGGAGAGGAAGGAAGACCAATGGCTCGAAAGCCACTCACTAGGGGAACAACTGCTGAAAAAGTGGTGGCTGCGGCGGCGGCTGCTGCTGCTGCTGCTGGTACAACCGCTGCAGCTCCTGCCTCTTCTGCTCCAACTGCTCCTGCTCCTCGCGCTCAAGCCGGTGAAGGGCCTGGAAATAGGTGTCGTGGCGGTGGGGAGGCGAAGTGGGCGACGCAGTAGGTGAGCCTCCAGCTCCCGTCTCCTCAGTACTAGCTCCTACATCGCTAGCACCTCCTGCTCCAGCACCCCCAGCTCTAGCATCGCCAGTGCCAGCACCTCCAGTTCCAGCACCC